GCGCGGACCCGCTGGACAGCTCTACGCGCCGCCGCTCCCCGCGCGCCCCAGCGGCCGCTGCTGCCCGAGCGCGCCGGGCCCGCCTCGCATTCCCTCACTCGGCGGCGGGGCTGCGCCTCCGTCAGGCCGTGCGGGGAGCGGCGCGAGGCCGGAAGAGCCTGGCAGGCTCGGGGCTCCCGCTCTGGCGGAGCCTGGCGCTGCCCCCAGTCCCGACCCAGTGGCTTGGGCTCGCTGCCACGCGGGGACGTCCCCCGGGCGCAGGACCCAACCGGGGGGGGGGGTGGCTCTTGGCCCTTTTCACACCCTCCGCCGTGTCTGTCCGGAGACTTGCTAAGTGCATTGACAGGAGCTAAGTGCACTTAACTTGGGGAAGGGAACAAGCGGACTTGAGGGAATTGTCACGCTCACTGAGCTTAAAAAAAAAAGAAAAAGAAAAAGTTCTTCAGGCAGGAGTAAAATGACCAATCTAAGGGAACAAACTGCATAAGATTTCACAGACATTTGGGATATTGTGGGCAAGCCAAACTGAGGTCCAAACCCAGGCGCGGGTACTTCTGTCAGCCACAGACCAGATTCATAGAGGCGGGCACCAAATATGCTTTGGGCCAAAAAAGTGAAAATGCTGCTTGGCCATCAGAAGCAGTGGCGGTCATAGTGGCCAGAGGATCTGCACGAAGCAGCTCTGGACCTCAAGAAGGAACAGGGAGAGGATCAGGACATCTTGTTTTCTCCTGATTGGACCCAATTGGGAAACAAAAGGACTAAGAGGGTACTGGGTGAAATTTGAAAGAAAACACTGTGTGTGCTGAGATTAGGCAAGGATGGACTTGTGTGCCAAGATCTGAGGTCATGGAATTAAACAGGGCACACCTGAAACCTGGCAGTAATTTCCCCATCACCAAGTATCACCATATATGGTTGAGGAGATGGGCGTGCTTCTCCGGGAAGGGTAGGTGCAGGCTAAAATGCAAGCAGTGCTAGCTGAGTTCAGATGAAGTCAGGGAGAGCAAACCACCAAAGGCTGTTCATCTGCCTGGGTTGCTGTCGGAATTGGAGACTGAATGGGCCGGGAAGGCCATCCTGACACAACTCGCCTCAAAACTGGTCTGATGATGGTCACAGAGACAAGTGAAGGTGTCCCGTCAAATACTAAACCCTCAGCTCCTTCCTGCCACCAAGAGGGCTCCTCAGACCCACAGGAGAGATTTTTGGAGCACACAGATCTCTAGCGAGGCGCTTTGCCTGGATGTAGGTTGGAACTGAGCCCCTGGACGATGACCACTGTAACCCTGCAATGAGTGCACTCAAACCAGTAGTGACTTGAAGGACTTGACACCATTGAAAACCAGATCCCAGTTAATGGGTATGAAGAAATACACGCGTACAGTTCATATCCACAAATATTTATTGAGTGCCTTTATGCAAGAATAAAGAGATGGTCCCTGCTCTCGTGGAGCTTACAGTGTCATGGCTCCAACGTTTGACGAGATTTATCAACTGCAACAAGCACGTGGCTTTGTCTAACTGCCAGCAGCACTGTAAGAAGCAAATCTTTCACATTATTCATCACTGTTACAGTGAAATTGTGAATTAAACAATTATCTTTGAAGTCTGTAGTCATAGCGATTACATGGTACAAAATGTCCAGCAAATGCAAAGTTATGGCTTGATTCCTCGTATTTGAGAGGGGCCTACTGAAATAAAACACAAATCAGAAGGAAAAAGCTTAGTAACGCAGGTCCTAAGAATACTGGTGTAGTTTAATACATTATCAAACTGCCGCAGAACTCCTGGCAGGGCAGGAAATTATTTCCTGCAAGATTTGTGCAACGTAATCGGTTCAATCAGACCCTGCAGATCTAATGGTACACAATCACTCATGATGCGCAAATGTGATTTACCTCTGATTCCTCAAGAGCTCTGGGGACACATTTACTTTTTAAAGCTTCTTAAAGATTTGCAGAAATTACACATTAAAATTTAGTGAGAACTGCTTTTGAGCTTTCTAAAAATTAAAATGACAAAAATGTCTAATTTTACTACATATATTAGTGCAGAGTGCAGAATTCAAATAGCGTTCAGCAAAGCACCTGGCTTTTCTAAGTTAAAAAGGGGAGCACGTTCTGGTGATCCAACTCTAAAACAAGTCATAATCGTCATATAGATTTCCTAACACTCAGAGGCAGGCACTTCCTTCACATCCCTGCTTCACCACAACCTTTAGATAGAAACACCCAAAGGAGCAATTAGTTTGATTACATTGGCAACACTTTTAGGAGAATACCCTATATTTACATCAAATAACCCCAAAACCACCTGCTTAAGATAAAAGTGCCTTCTGAACCTACACTCAACAGGTTATCAACTTTTTTTATCAGTCGTTAAAGAACAAAAACGAAAACAAACAACAAAACTCATACCAGAGCCAAGAAACCTCAGATTTTTTTTGCAGAGGTGAATGGAACATTTCGGACTACTTAATGGAAATGTCAGCCAACCCAAGGTAGTTTTCAAGTCAATTGCTTGGTACATAATCTACTATTTAAAAAGTACTGAATTGCTACTTCAAAAGCCTATTTAACTCAGGATGAAGCTGAAATGTACAGGTTATTGAAAATTTACTCAGCACCAGGCACTTTACATGATCTCCCTGAATGGTCTGTTCATCTGTCAATTATTGCGGAGGAAAGCAGGCCTGCGCCAGGTGGGACCCGGGGCTGCCAGGCGCTCCTGTGCCCTGCAGTCCTAGCGCAGAATGGCAGCTTCATCTACTGTCATTCCAATTGGAACACTTATTTTAAGCTGTAACCAGGGATCCCGAAGGACTTTTCTCCCCCTGGGCTGCCTCCTAAGGAAAAGGAAGGGGGCAGAGGCCCGCTAGGGAGAGAGCTAACTATTTGCATTTAAAAAGGCACTTCCCAAGTGGGAGATTCACTTAGGTCTCTCTATTAACTGCAGCTCAGCTCCAGCGGCATCAAAAGTCGTTTACCTCCCTGGAACAGTAGTTGCTTTTTAAGATTGCCATGTTTCCTGCTTTTAGGTTGAGTGGTTGTTAAATCCATTATTCCTTAAGTTCAAATCCCCAAAGGGCAAGGGGGCTGAAAGGACTTTCCTTGGTTTCCCTCTTCACAGCTACAAAGAAAACAATAAAATTTCTTTTTCAAAAAAATAAATAAGGGACTGGTACTTCCAATCTATCACACACTTGAAAAAATCAAAGCATCATTTTTCTGAGAGAGGCACGGGAGACATTGTGATGGCACTTAATACTTTTCTTGGAATAAGCCAATATAGACTATTAAGAAGAGAGCTCTTTGACAAGACTCTAATCTCTTCTGAAATGGCAATTTCTTTATTCTTAAGAATGTAGTAGACTTTACAACCGGAGTAAGGAACAATAAAAATGGCCTAATAACTTTCCAGCTGGTTTTTAATGTCTCGTATAGGAACACAGTAAAGGGAATATCACCAGTAAAGTCAATCCCTTGATTATGTCTTAACACAAGCGCCATACTGGAGCTTGGTTAAAATGAACCTTTTCTTTAGTGTAAGCAGGAGATTAAAAAAAAAAAAAATCTAGAATAAAGGCACTTGACACTGTAGACAAGTAATTCTCAGTAGCCGATGTCTTCACATGGTTGCAGGAGTTAGGAGCAAAGGTTCAGTTCCTGGGTAGAGCGGAGAGGCAGCTGTCAGAGGCCCCCTCCTTGCTGAGACTCCCCCAAGCGGAGAGAGGAGCATGGCTGTGGGCCCCTGGCCTGGAGCGCAGCCAGGTGAAGCTTTGGTGCTGGGTGCTCAAAGACAATTGGGGATCTCTGCTCAAAGGCATACATGTACCCTAATGGAGTAACGTGGGCTTGGCGTTGTTATAACTACATGCTCTTAAGAGCCGCATAGGAAAAAAGGCTCCAAAGTAAAGCAAAATTTAAACCTGAGCGTTTTCCGGGGGAACTGTGAAAGTATGGAATCAGTCTGTTTATCAACAGAGCTTGAATATGGGGGCCCTGGGTTCTGACCGGCTAAGGAAAAGGGGACAGGTAAGCAGCCCGGATGGGACCAGCAGTCAGTACACCTGCCAGAGCTCCTGGTCAGAGCACAGCCTCCTGCCCAGGTGCTACTTCCCAGAGCCAGGAGGTACTTATTGCCCAGGCGGTGAGCCAGGCCTCCAGCAAGACCAAGGTCAAGACGCCAGGCGTGGTCTAGACACATCCCTTCCATTAACAGGCAGAGCAGGCTGTTGATCTTAACCTAGTGCTCTCACAGCACCTACTACTATTGGAGGATTTCTTTTTCTTTTGCGCAGGGGTGGAGTGGGTGGAGAGGGGTGTGAAATGTCACATGGTGACTGACTGACAGCTGAAGCCATCTATGTGGAGGAAACCAGGGCTGCTTTCACAACCTCACTGGGTGGTGACCTGTATTTCATCAAAGATTTATCTATCCATTTATGGTCATTCATTATCCATTTAGGGTGGGACACATGTTACATTCAGAATGATGGGCAGAAAGCTACAGCTCTCCAACTGTTTAACTTTTTCTGAAAAGTAATATATGTGACAAAATTAGAAATTACATCTCTCTCATATTTCTTTCCTTACAAATAATAAAGTTTAAGGGAAACAAAATGAGTTAGTCATGTCATTTTCAAAGTTTTCAGGGTTCCATCATTTCCAATATTTCCATTATTACCAATCTAATATTCACTTTAAGACAAATGTTTCAAACAGGAATTGCATTATCATTTTTTAAAAACCTCAAAACAACTAAAATCCAGGGTATGCTGTAATTTTTTCTGCATTCAGCATGTATTAGTCTATCTATGGAAGCTGTTCTTAAGCATTTTTAAAAAATCATATTTACAATGTCTAACAAGTTTATAAAATTGGTGTGCAAATTGTAAAGGGGTAACACTATTTGTTTACAAACAAGCTGCCTCCGATTACATGTCCTTATTCGTGATATAAATTGGAGACATATACTATTTAAAAATAATACTTTTTAAATAGTAAAATATATAAGAGATTCCTGAGCGTAACAAAAATATCTTGAAAATATGTGGCCATTTGAAGTATAAAATAGCAAGTTAAAGAATAGCATGATTGTAAAACTAGTCTGAAGGCTTATAAACAGTACAAAATAGTTTGCCTTTTCTGAGTGCATAATTATACATTAGTGCAAACAAAAATGTCTCAAAATTTAATGGCTACAAATCTCAAAGATTTGCAGAGGTGCGCAAGACATGGAATTTCTTTAGTGTCATGCGAACTGAACCCAGTTCTCGATTAATCCTTTCCAATCGGTCTTCCAAGGCTTCCTAGGTGAAAATAATGGGAAAAGCTTAATTAGGATTCTGTATCAAGTTCACTAATTCCATAATTACCACCAAATTGACCTTTCTTGTAGCAAAAGAACAAGTATAGACATTAAAATTGGATATTTTGGGGGTTTTTTACACAAACCATCTTTATATTATTTCTTTTAAACTGAACAACGTAAATCAACTTTTCAACCATCCCAAATTAACTGTTAAAATATCCTCCATGTGTCTGGTACATTGAGAATGTGGAAATTACAGCAACAGCAACACAACCAACGGGAAGAAGATAATTCTTTAACTTCGTTGGACTGAGAACAGCACAAGATGAACCTGGGAGGTGCTTCACATGTTCCACCAGAATTAACAGGCACGTCTGACTGGTGCATTTACATGTGTATCAAATGACTTTCTACTGACAAAAATGTCTGAGTTAAAAAGGAAGACCAACATCTGGAGAGCACTTTTCCAAGGAACAAGAGATTTCACAATGAATCAACGTAACAACTGCTATTTTAAAATAAATAACACTATTGTGAAATAAATAGTACCTGGAATATATATTTATCATTTTAGATAACTTTGTTCAGTATTAACTCCAATGGTATCCTGAAATAAAACTTTAACAACTTTAACTATAAAAGGATTACATGTAGAATATTTAGAAGACAAGGTGAGCAAAGAGTACAAACACTGTTACTCTTTCCTGTTTTTTTTCCTGCAGATATGCTCACCATTTTTAAGAAGAAAAATAAAAACAGAATCAAACTCTATTTCAAAACGTTTTTCAACTGAACTTCTCTTGTAATGAAATATCTTTCTGCAACGTCATTTAAATTAATGTACAATATTCATCAGATGTACATTTAACCAAGAATCTTCCAGTAGGAATATAGGTTGCTTCCATTTTTAGATATCATAAATGATGCTGCAATAAATATTCTTAAACCTATCTCCTTGCACATGTTTGTAAGTATTGCTCTGGCAATCTTTCCCAGGAGTAAAAACACTAGGTCCAAAGGGATGCAAAATTCTAAAGCTTTGGCTAGATGCCAAGCTGTACTCCAGAGAGTTTGTGACAATTTCTACTTCCACCTGCAAGGTATGAGAATAAGGCTTCCCCACTCTCGGTGCTGCTTTTAAAAAAATACCTTCCAATATAATAGTTTTTTTAAAATGATGCTTTTGTTTAAATGTATATTGTTTCATATTCATTAATGAGGCTGAACATTTTTCATCTTTTTTGGCCCAGTTTAACTTTTTTCACTTATGAATCCTATATAAGCATCCTCAGCCTCTTTTCACTGCCATTTGTCTTCTTACTGGACTGAAAGAGCTTTAACATGTGTGAACAGAAACCAGTGCCCTTTAAGTCTTATTTTAAGAGCCTACGATCATTATATAAAAATATATTAAACAAATGTTTCAGATGGATTTAGACTCAGCGTATCAACAATTTTTCCTTCTGCCTTCCCAGTAAACTATTTTAAGAGTTTCATGTGTTGAGTCTTATTTGAATAAAAACTTTCGGAACAATAAAAAGACCACGAAAGTCAGAAAAAGAAGAGAAGTTGGGGATCCAGGCCCTCGAAAAAGACCTCTCCTATTTTTTTGTGGCCCTCTTTCCTTCTGGTTATCACAGGTCAATCTGAAAATGAGCTTTTCCTGAAGTTACAGCACTGAGCGAAGCCAAAACATGCAGTTATATAAGAGATATATACTTGCTGTTGGGTTTAAAATGCTACAGAAAGAACAGATTTAAGATATCCCGCGGCTTCATGCATTTTAATTCTCTGTGCAAAGCAACTAAAAGCAATGCACACAGGCCATGCACCTGCAGCACCTCCTGCTCAATGGAACCACATCGCCCTCTCTCTTTACCCTCTACCACTATTCCAGCTGCAAAGTGCAACTGTTTCACATGTATAACAACTGCAAAGGGGTTCGGAAATGAATTACAGGTTGGAGAGAAGAAAAACACAAAACGGGAGGTTTCACGTGAGAGCACTGACTTAACGTAAAATCTGTTAACAGGCATATTGTCACTAGCGCCCAAGTTAGTTTCCTGGAAACATAATAGCATGAACACCTTTTTCTTGGATTATAAAGGTAAAATCAGTCTTTATTCCTGAAAGCTGGCATGCAGTTATAAAATAAAAGGTGTGATCAAAAGATACGGTGAATGCTGCTGCCGAGTGCCATCCAATGGAAAGGCAGGGTTCTTCAATATGGGAAGCAGCACATCAAATCTTACTGACAGTGTGTGTGACAAGTTTCAACTTGTTCGGTGCAGTCAGCTGGGTGTGAGCTATAGTTGAGAAAAGGTGTGTTTTAACGTGTGCCGTAAATCATCACGACAACACTCCATGTCACATATCGCTTCTGGTATATGGTAATTTCTGTCAAATATTGGGTTGTCGGAAAAGTCATGATGTATTTTTTCTATGATTTTCACTGCAGAAATGCGTCATGACTCTTCCGACAACCCAATAAAAACATTGCGGTGTGTCCTCATCCACCTTATTCACCGGATGGATCTGGCACCATGCGACTTCGGCTCCTCCCCAAAGTCAAAATGATTCAGGACATCGAGGCAGCCACAGCAGTTCAACTAAAAACACTCACAAAAGAGGACTTCCAGAACTGCTTCAGAAAGTGGCAAGAACGATGGGATAAGTGTGTTCGCAGCAAGGAGTATTCCGAGGGGGATTAATGGCAATGTGTCTTTTACTGGAATAAATATTTTTTTTACCTTAATCATTCACTGTATTGTTTGATCACACCTCATATATTATAATCACTAAACACTTCCTGCGCAGGCTAAAAGTGTTAGCCAATTGCTTCAGTGATGGTAAGAAACCATCTTGGGAAACAGAGCACTTCACCTGATTTAGTCTTGTCTGCAAAGTGATTCGTCCTCCAGTAGAAGGCATTCGACTTAGCGCTGCCTCAATCTGTTAACACACAGAACAGTTTAAATAAAAATCAAAGAATTCTAATTACTGCAGGGAGGTTTAGAACACAGAATGGAAAGCAGACTTTGGCCTAGTATTTTCTTGTCCGCCTCGTCCTCACGTAAGTTTCCTCTGCTAGAAGTAGTAACAACAGCTCGCCTCACACACGCTGTTAGTGCAGCTTTGGGGTGAAATTCACAGTAACTTCCTGGGGTGGGTCTGACTCAATAACTCCCTTCTGACTATTCCTCAGACACAAGCGTTAAGTTCAGAAAAAGATTTTTAAAAATCTGTTTATTTTTACCTGGTCTTTTTCTTTTGTAAGTTCATCAAAAAACCGTTCCGTTTCAGCTAGGGTCCTAATTTTTGCAGTATACTCAAAGTCATTACCATGAGGTGCTACTGAAGCAGGCTTACACTGCTCGTAGCTAACGGATTTGTTCTTCTCCCAGGCTGACCTCACAGGCACTTTCTTCACTCCATTGGGCAACAGTTCGGGGGAGGAGTTATGATTAACATGGATGTTGGTGGCTTTTTCTGAATATTTTTTTTCTGTCGGAGAGAAAGGAAATTTCTTTCATGTCTTATCAATTTTTCTAATAGAACTGTATACATACTAAATATGTTACCCAACTTCACTTTCGGGAAATAGCTGCTACACGGCCAAAAAATGTAATGAAAAGAGATACAATAATCAAAAATAATCAAACATGTTTACGCAGTGCTTTTTCTCCATAGAATTCTAAAGCTTTGCCCTCAGTGTGACAACCTTTACAATTTCCCAAAATGAGCGTGTGCACACTTTCTGTAAATATAAATGAACTTGAAGTAAACTTAAAAAGCAAAAAAATAAAAGTTTAAACACATTTAAGCCAACATAAAGAGTTAACATTTTAGGGGCCTACCTAAGTGATTTCACATGCATTATCTTACAACTTTATTCCAAACTTAAAACACAAATGAGCAAAAGGAAAAAAATTACTCAAAGCCTAAGTTGTATAAAATTTAGAGACTATCAAAGCAAAGACAAAAACTGAACAGTATGGCCCTGGTTATTAACTGTACCTCAGTTCCCCAGCCTTTGAATGAGGATAACAACAGTGACACACAATATGAGCAATGCCAGTGCTTATCTTTAGAGGCCCTTGGGCAGAAAAACATTTAAGTGCAGGATATTATAATACTTAGAACCTTGAAAAGATACCAGAAACTCACAAGGAACGACAAAACCGTAACTAACAATGTTTTAGGAAAAGATACCTTCCGGGTCATCTAGAGGAAGAAACTGGAGCTGTTTCCTGGGATGGGTACGTGGTAATGGAGACACAGGAACAGTATCTAAATCATCCAAAAGGATATCAAATCTATGAATGAAGCAAGTTACTCGTGAGAAAAAAATGTTAACTGATTTTCCCTAGCCCTGCTAGAAACATGAGCTGGCATCCAGTTAACTCACATACTTACACACTTTTTAGAAAGAAAGCTGGTCATATACTTTTCTCAAACTGAAATTTCATTTCTATTTTCTAACACGAAATTACAGCTACATACTAGACGTAAAGCATTTACCCATACAATGTCTCAACTGCTCGTTCTAACAACCTTATGAAGTGAGCAGGGCAGGCATTATTATCTCCGCTTTACACAAGAGGAAACCGAGTTCAATGTGCTTAAGTAACTTCTCCCCAAGCCGGATGGGGCTGGGTCGCCAGGGGACAATGGTCCGCCCACTACAGCACACACTGCTGGCCACACATCAGAGAGGACTGTTTTCTCAGGGGCACAGGTAAACTTACGTTCAGTGCCAGGGCTGTACCAGGACAGTCCGTTTTCTTAGACAAAGGGCTCATAAACCTTTTCAGGAAAACAGAATTATCGTGCTACATCCAAAGGTGGAAGGAGTTCTGAGACGGCATTAAACTTTCGTAGTAGCCAGTTTACATAGTTAAAAACTGTTTTCGTGTCTTATTGTATTTTTTTAATTTTTAGTATGACATTCATTTAAATAATGTAAATCCGGAGAGTTCCCACTGAAACTGAAAAATTAGTGATAGCTAGAGACATAAACATTAAAAAAAAAATCAATAATATATATTTTAGTCTACAATTTTAGAGAACTTACCGAATCGGACTGCTTTCATTTTTGTTAAGTAGATGACTAAATCCTGGGGACAAATTCTCTTTAGGGGACCGCTTGGGACTATAAGCCACAGTCACGGGTGTTAACATAATCTCTCTTTTTGCTATAGAAGAAAACAAAGAGGAAATAATCTTTTCCTTCTATATAATATGTGTTATATTGGCAGAACATATACTTTCTTTTCAGTACTTTTTTCTAACTTTAAAAGAAATACAATTTCACTGTAAAACTTTTTGAAAGATAAATAAGAGTATAAAAAGAAAATAATTCATAACCTAACATCTAGAGGGAACCAATGTCAACATTTTAGCACATCAAACTGTTAATTTCAGCACTCTCACACAAAACTGGTTTTTCAGGACTTTAGAAGTCAACTGGAAATAAGATGGAAACACCAGTGATCATCCCTATAACAGTCATATAGGAATCTCCTCAGCTGTTATGAACATGGAAGCTGAGGACACAGAAATGCAATGTTTAAACTTTAAAACTGTAACTGGCTAAAGGAAAAGGTGACTGATGCCGATAACCTTAGGTAAATCTATGAAAAGAAGCATCTTTTTGCAGGCTAGCTAATTTGTTTGAACAAATGTTTAATTAGATAGTTGTCTACGATCTCGAAAACTGTAAAGTGGTTTAAGTTGCAAAAATTTGCTGGACACACACAAAAATCCCAGTGAATGGATCATTTCTTCAGTTACAGGCATAGTGTGTGTGCCGTCAACGTTGTTCTTTTAAAAAATCACATTTAGGGATCTGTGCGCAGTGCACGCTGTAGACGCCAGGTAGAGTACAAAGGAAATGGAAATAGCGGCATGTAATAAGGCTCCAAGGTCACTCCTCTGAGCCCAGGAGATATGACATCTAACTCTTACTTGGAGTGCTTGCTTTACGATTTGAAGGTGGCAGAGAGGACGATCGCTGTGAAGTAGCATTCAGTCTCCTTTGTCTTTGTTGGGCACATTTCTCGGGAGACCGACTTGCATTGACAGATGTTTCAGTTTGCCGAGGATTCACCAATTCTACGAAAGGCAAATGTAAAAAAAGTCAAGCCAGACAAACCTAGCTTCAGTTATCTGCCTTTATTACCAGATGGTTACACCAAGCAAGCAGTTCTTCTCGCTATCTAGGTTATCGTGATTATTTGCAAATGCACCACATTATAAGGATAAAAAATGTTTGCTGAAGAAAAATGTGGGAGTTTAGAATGCATTCATCCTGGTTCTCTGTTTACAGCTGGCATTCAAGGTGATTTTTCAAGAGAATGTATTTTTGGAAAGCAGGTCACTAATTTATTTACTAGGAGATACTGCTTTGGATGCAATGCCAAAGATGTTAAGGACGTGATTAGCGGGCCCGACAGAGTGAGCACGAGAGAGCACAGAGTGCAAGGAGGAGACGCAAGTACCGGACCTGTGAAAAACAGTATTACGGACACTTGTCGTCCTACTGCTGGGTGCTCAGTAATCAAGAAAATGGAGAGCAGGAAATGGTACATCTCACTTTATGAATCCCAAATGTCTGTGATTACTTTTTGATGTGGCAAACTGTAGAAGTTTTTCAAATATCCTTAAGAATGCCACATAAATCTTTTTAAGATGATGATGATGATGATTATTGGAAAACAGTGTGTTTTTCAGGACCCATCAGCTCCAAGTCAAGTAGCTGTTTCAGTCTAGGTGTGGAAGGCACAGCTCAGTGGCCCATGTGGGGATCGAACCAGCAACCTTGGTGTTATGAGCTCTGCGCTCTAACCACCTGCGCTAACCGGCCGCCCTGCCACATAAATCTTTAATAATCAGAACGTAACATGTAATTTGCTTTGTATAAAAGATACATGTTATGCTATGACTGTGATAAATTATTAACTAGGGGATTTGATTGTCTATGAAATGGAACTGAAGCAGCAGTAAAATAAACTTTTTATTTCATTACTTGAGGAACTTCATTTTAAAGAAGGTAATATAATTAGGGGGAAGGGGAAGATATCTCTACATCTATAATCTATATCTATATGTCAAGTAAGGAATAAAACACTTACTATTTGAAGTGTCCTCTTTCTCTGTCTGTGTGCCCCAATTTTTAAATATTTTTTCTTCATCAAGTTCTTTTAAAGCTCTCATGATTGGTGTGTCTGAAGTCTCTCTCTGTTTTTTTATCAGTAAGTTTGCTGGTGAGCTTCCAGGTGAAGAATCCTTTTCCGGAGGAGAATGGTACCTTAAATAATAATTGTAAAACACATGGTACTATGGACTGAATATTTGGGTCCCCCTTTGCTAATCCGTATGTGGAAGACCCAGTCCTCAATGGGATAGTGTTTGGAGCTGTGGCCTGTGGGAGGTGATTAGGTTTAGCTGAGATCAAGAGGGCGGAACCCCCATGATGGAATTAGAGCCCTAATAAGAAGAGGAAGAGAACCAAGGTCTCTCTCTGCAGGTAAGCACCAAGGAAAGGCCCTTCACCAAGAGCCCACCGAGCTGGCTCCAGGATCTCGGACCTAGAGGCTCCAGAACCATAGGAAATAAATGTGTGTTGTTCAAGCCGCCCAGTCTATGGTCATTTGTTAGAACAGCCAGAACTAAGACGCATAATTCACTGGGTTTGTTGGGGGAGTAACAAGAAAGTTGACAATGATACTCCACAATGAATGTGTATGTTTTACAATGCAAACAAATTAAAGAAAACTGAACCTGCGAATAACAGGCCAGTGTCTCCCATCCCAGCACATACAGAAATGCTGTATTTACATGGTGCCCTGTAGTGTCTGGAGGGCGAGGTGATAACATCCTGTCCTTGCCACAAGCCCAAGCGTGCACACCACTGTGCCAGGAACACCAGTGGTGGGGTTCTGCATAGCCTACAAAAGCAAAATAACCTAAAAGCACTAGTCTCTCAAAATCAAATAAAAGTGAGGTCCTTCAAATTATGACATTAAAGCAGCCCGAGATGGCTCTTTATCTCTTCCTGAACATTTAAAGGCCACTGAATCTCTAAGAACAGTCCCCACACATGATCTTTCACAGTTCTCTTACCCAGGAACACAGGTTTCCTCCAGGTGGTTATCCATTTTCCTCTCCTGGATGTCCAAAGGCTGGCCTGTAAAGATAGAATACTCTGCTCCTGGGATCAGCCACTTCCGCCTGCTGACGTCGGAGGTTGCTAGGGTGCTGGAGAACGAGAAACGGTCTGAGGCATTAAAAGGCTTGTGCTTCAATATAAACTGAGCGCATGTTGAAAACAGCCTGCTTTGAAGTATTACTTAGGCATTTGCACAGTCATTTTAAAAAGACATATAGTTGGGCCGGCCGAGTGGCTCAGTTGGTTAAGAGCTCGCTCAAGAGTGCGAGCTCTGAGCAACAGCGGTTTGATTCCCGGCCGGAGCTGAGCTGCTACCAACAGGTGGCAGAATGGCTCAGCTAAAAAAATTTAAAAATTAAAAATAAATAAATAAAAAGACATATAGCAATCTTATTTTAGATACATGAATTACACGCACCCACTCCAAACACCCCACTGGCACAGTGCCACCCTCTACACCCTACAGACCTCCCCCTCCCCAGCTCAGGGCACGAGCAGAAGCAAGACTGCCCTCTGGGTCCCCCCAGACCAGCACTGTGCATAGAATTTTCTACCCAATCAGTAGTGACCTCCATCTGCACAGTCCAATAGGGTAGCAGCTAGTCACACACCTCTTTTTTTTTTTTTAATTGTTTAGTCACACACTTCTGTCGAACACTTGAAATGTGGCTAGTGAGACTGAAGAACTAATCTTTAAATGTTATTTGTTTTGTATTTAATTTACATTTACTGTAACTAAGCACGTGTGGCTGCTGGCACATCTGCATTGAACGGTGCAGTGCCAGACTATCAGTTCCCCCGATTCTCAGGAAAGCCCTGCTCGTCTGAGGCTCACACCATCGGACGCCCTTCCCAGCTCACCTTCCATCATACCCGACTGGAGGGCAATGGCCTGACTTCTTAGTGCCTTATTCCTGCAGCTGAGCTAAAAACACTCACTCAACCGTGCAGACTGGGTGTCATTACAGAATCACGATCACCATCTCAAGGGGACACCCAATACTGCTGGCAGCATAGCTCTCTGTAATCAAGGACTCTCCTCAAACCTCTCACTCCAGCCTGGGCTGTCAGGAGAGAACCTCCATGACACTTCAGAGAGGAAACAGAAACCATGAGGCGACTCCCGTCTGCCTCCTCTGCTCCCTGTCACACCAAGCTTTTTAAGAGTTGACTCTTTTATCTATTTTCATTTCAACCCCCAATCACTCTTTTTGCCCGATTTTTAGATTAAGAGCCATTTCCAACAGTCTTAGAAAATTACAAAAAATACTGTAACAAGCACTTACCCATTCTCAGTTTTAACAAATGCTAATGTCTTACCCTATTTGTTTTTAATTGTACCACATAAAATTGTATGTGTATATTTGTTTGTATTTTTAAGGACATAATGGGCATATGTATGCATCCTTTTTAATGCTTTCTCTACTCGTTATGTTTGAGATTCATCCGTGTTAATACATACAGCTCTAGCATCTTAATAATTTTTGCACAGTACAAATGGATCACACGTTATTTATCCTTCCTCCTGTTGGTGGATGCTTAGCTTCTAACACACCACCTTTCAACAGCATTACAATTAACTTATGTAAGAGTTTCTCTCAGGAAAATACCTAGGAACCGAATGATGAATTTGGGGTGTGCACTTCTTCCATCTTGATACTGCCAGATCAAGCTCCAGACCGGCTGTACCAAATTTCGGTCCAACCTAATTGGAAAGTTCCTCTCCCTTCACATCTCTGCCAAACTTTACAATGGCTACATTTTAAGTCTGGCTTGTCTGATGGTGTGAGTGGTCTCCTATTATTGTTTTAATTTGCATTTTTCTGGTTACTAGTGAAATGAGCATCTTTTCATTTTCATTAGCCATTTGGGCTTCTTTTTCTGTGAACTGCTTGTTCACATTCTTTTATCACATTTTATTGAAGAAATTGTCTTTTTCTTCTTGGTTTATAGTTTTTTATACTCCGGATATTAATCCGTTACGGACTCCTGTTCACTTTAACAACATAAACTATTTCAGGCATGCAAAGACACACGGATAATACGCAGGCGCCAACCATCCTGCTTTAGACGATCTTCGCTCTTTGTTATATGTTCTTTAGATTTTTAAAAGTGGAACACTTTTGTGTACCTCTCCAATCTCATTCTCCCCAAAAGCTACCATTTATACTAACCGTAAGTTCCATATTCCCACGTGTATTTTTATACCTTTACTACATCTGTATGAACCCATGAGACATGTAGGGCTGTTTTACGTGCTAAAGTCGGTGTAAATAGTATTCTACTTTTTCTGCAGCTAGTTTTTGTTGTTGTTCCATATAATGTTCTTAAAATTAAACCATGCTAACAGTCTAGTTCAGGGGTCGGCAAGTTCTTCCTGTAAAGAGCCAGGTAGTAAATATTTTAGGTTTCATGAACCCGACAATCTCTGCCACAACTACCCCACTTTGCCTGGTAGCTACGGACAATATACAAATGAACGAGCCTGGTGCTTTCCAATACAACTTTCTTTATGGACACTGAAATCTGAGTTTCATATAATTGTCACATCATGAAATATTATTCTCTGATTTTTTCCAAACGTTTCATAGACTAGATTTGCCTGGGGGCTGTGGTCTGCCACCCTGGTCTAGTTTATGCACTGTCACACTCGATAGTATTACGCATAAATATTTCACAACACAGACATTCCAGCTTTTAGACACTGAGGATTTTTGCATTCACTCTTCAATATGTTCCCAGCTAGCTCCCCTCCTATCAGTCTATCCACACTGCTCTCCAGGCCCAATAGCCTCCAGCTCGCAAACCCCACAGGCCCGGCTTCACCTCACTTGCTCTCAGCAGCACCCGACACCGGGGGCTGCTCCAGCTTCTTCTTTAGTTTTCTGGCAGCTCCCTCTCAGGCTCCTTGGCCAACTCCTTCTCCACCCAACGTCAAAACACTGGGGTTCTTCAGGTCTTTGTCCTGGACCCACTTCCCACTCAACACATCCAGCCATCCTATCCACACTTTTAAGTACTATCTAGAAAGACAACTCCAAAAGTTGTAACTCCAGCCTTAGACCTTATTTCTGAGCTCCAAATTTATAATCGCCTGCTTGATTTCCACTCAGGATTCACATGAATCTCAAAGCAAAATATCCAAGGTGGAAATTCTGATCTTTACCCTATGGTCTGCCTTTCCCATCTCTTCCCTGGTTCAGAACACGGCACCCTTAGCTGTTCAAGACAGAAACGAAGGACTCATGTGACACCCCCTTTTCTGACCTTGCCATCCAGTTCCTAACCGTGTTCTGAGGGTTCTGCCTCCAGAATCTCTCTTGAATCCTTCTTTTCTGTCCATTTCTATGACCACTGCCCAGCTAACACCCTCCCAGCGCTGCAGTAGCCTGAATGATCTCTGCTTCCACTCCTCTCTCCTCATGGCAGGTACGTTAAACAAGTAGAAATCAGATGACATCATTTTACTCTAGAAAGCCCTTCAAAGACTTCCCAACAGACTTAGAGTAAAATCCAAAGTCCTGACCACAGCTGGGAAAGCAACCCATGACGGGCCTATGGTTTCCTCTGGGGCTGCTGCACCCCTGCCTGGGGATACTCAGGCCACGCTAGCCTCCTTTAGGTTTTCAAGCATGCTAAGCTCTTTCCTACCTCGGGACTTAGCCGGGCCAATTCCTCTGCCTGGGCATCCCTCTCCCCTCCACACCGCCCACCCGGACAGCTCTCCACACTCACCTCTCTGCTTCAAAGTCACCTCCACGGAGGGCCTTGCTGACACCGACCCAGCCCTCCCTTCTGTTCTCTCTCACTATTCAAATTCAGTTACTTACACCGTTGTTGTTTTCTTAATAATTCACTGTGTTCTATTAAGATTAATTAAGATCTAGAAAATGTTTCTCATTTAACAAATGCAACTTAGGTTAAAATTTACAACTTAACAATCTTTTTCTAACAAACGTCGTCACAAAGTTATTATCTACTCATTAATACTTTTTTACACCAAAATCATAATAAAAACCAATTCTAACATGAAAAAAGCCTATTCTGTAGAAGCTTCATCAAGATAATGCTGAGGTTATATTATAGCAAAGCTAATTCTGAAAAACAAAAAACCCCTGAAAAGTCCATATAACCTAATGAAGAGCCTGTTTCCGAAGTCTTTCTATGAACATGGGAATAACATTTCTGGAATCTTAGGGTTAAAAGACCTTCTAAGACATTCTCGCCCAATGTCCCTTGTTCTTAGATAGCAAAACCGAGCTCCAAAAAATGAAGTTATTTGCCTAACGTCACACAGCTGGGCAGCATCCAAAAAATAAAAACATCCCAAATTTGCTTACTCCCAACCTACCATCTCCTTTTGACACATACCGCTCTCTGCGTAACAGTTTTTACGCCATCTAAAAATTAGATGTTTTTACACATCTAAATTCTATAATGACATTTAACCCTTTCTTATGGTTTACACAGATGAGCTTCTGAGTTCAATAAAGGGTGTATCTATTTTTAGCTTTAGAGATTAAACAAAATAACTTACTTGGCACGTGATGGTCTCACAGGAGTTCTAGAATTATGACGAAGACTTAACATATTTTCATGCTCTACTTGCTTGACCTGAGCTTCCAGTTTTGAAATTGTTCTGATTTAAAAGCAATAAGAGAAATTTAAGTATATTTCAACAAGTGTAAAATATAGCTCAACTACAAATTAATTATTTAATAGGCCTTCCTAGAAAAGGGGTGACAAGTGAGCTGCATGTTCATAAACCTTTTCACAGTAAAATGCCATCGTTAACTTTACAAAGCTGAACAAAATCAGGGAGAATAAATAAAAAGACAAATATATTGGGTTGTCAGAAAAGTCATGATGCATTTTTGCAACAAAAAACAGAAAAATACGTCATGACTTTTCCAACAACCCAATATTAAATTCTACAGAGAAGTACTTCATAGCCCACAACTGGAGGCAAAAAAAACAATAAATGGACTTAATCTAGCAAGTATAAAAAAGTTATAAGTTTGACTACAGATCAAAACATACAAATTAAAGATAAATTCAAGTATTCAAATAAACTGCAGAGCTAACCTGTGTAATGCTGACATGTATGTATTCATGCATATGAAATACATATAAGTAACACTTTCTCAAAAAAGGAAGCAGGCTTAATTTCCAAACACAGAGCTATTAAAAAGAACTTCCTAATTTTTTAAAAGGCGCAAAGGCCAAACTGTCCCCAACAACTCAACCTACAGGTTGCTCATCAAATTTGGACCATGTTCAGAATAAAAGCCTATTTTCAAGTTTACCAACTTCAGAAAATAAGTACTCTGGCCAATTGTTTTGAGTATACCTTGGTATTCTTTCTGTTCTTTTAAGCTTTGCATATGTCTTCGTCTTATCTTTTAAGTGCAAATCCTCACCCACCCTGCTGCAAGGAAGGTTTGAGAAGGAACAGCTCTAACAGCGCTGGTGCTTCCTACCAACCTGGTAAGGAACCATCACTAGAACTGAATGTGTGTGTCACAGCCAAGACCTGAGCAGACGAGAAAGCTGGACAGCCTGCCTGCCTGCCATGGGAAGTCCTGAAGGATGCAGTAAAACCTCCAAATAAGGGACATGACTTATCTCGAAACACAAAAACACGCTCTTAAGCCAATTAGAAATATCTAACCATTGCGCCACAGGGACCATTTATGACTGTTTCTACCTAATTAAGCAAATCAGATCATGAATATAGTCCCCAAACCAGGCCTTTAGCAAAACACATAACCACAAAATTGGTGTGAATGCTGTTTTCTTTCTGGAGCGCAAAAATAATTCGGTGAACTAGACTGTGGCTCAAAATTCTTTTCTGTGATTTCACATCATTTAGATTTTACCTATGCTGAGAAAATACATAATGTTTGGGGAAATACAACCTCTCAGGCACAGCCAGCAATAGATTCAAATCATTTAAAAATTCCCTTTTAGTCACAGGATGTGGAGTATAGTGTGGGAGTGGAATCAATGGAATTGTAATAGATAAGTAGAATAGACTAGATCATATGAGGGGGGAGAGTGGGGCGGCGGATTGGGGAAGAGAGGTTGTCACTGTGAGGGGTAAAAAGTATAACTATTGCACTGTGTTGTACAGCTAAAACTAATTTAAAATAATGTTTATTTCACAATAAAAATAAATAATTTTTTTTTTTTTTAAATCTCTTTTGGGCCGGCCATGTGGCACGTTGGATAAGAGCTGGCTTGGGATGCCAGAGGGCCCTGGTTCGGATCCCACATATGAGGGCCAGTGACACTGCCCTCTACAGCTAAGATGCTGAACACCAGCTCAACCTGGAGCTGGGCTGCCATGAGTCGCCTGCGCCGGCAGTGGGTTGCCATAGGCTACCATGTGTGGCCGGCAGCCAGCGTGAGCGGCCAGCAGCCGCAGTGAGCGGCCGTCCAGAAGCCAGCGACTGATCTGCCTTGCCAGGGAAGAGCACAATGATGGTGCCAACTTGGGCCAGTGAAGCAACGTCCTCCACAACTAGATTGAGGAACAAAACGATAGCAACTTGTCTGTTTCCCTTCCCCCAATTCCCCAATAAAATAAATAAATAAATAAATAAAGTAAATTAAAAAAAAATTCTCTTTGGCTAAACTCAAAAGTATTTCTACGTCATGGGAAGATGGGGATAAAGCCTAATCTCAAAGGGCTTTAAAAAATCCTCAAGACAAGCTTTCTTTTCATCACTTTCAATACACACTTATTTGAGTGCTGAAAGAACAATTAGAGGGATCTGTTTAGTAGTGAGACAAAACATTTTACCTTTTCAAATCAGAAATCTGAGTTTGTGCATCAAGCAATTTGTTCTCGGTTGTATTTAACGTATCCTATGAAAATAAAGGAAAAATTCAGAGAATTGAAGATAAATATTCAAGTGTAGTCCTTTTATTTAAAATTGCATAATCCAAACCTAATCTAAGGCTAACACCAGAGAGCTACAAAGAACTTTATGCAGATACTCAGCAAGTATGGCACCAACCACTGAGGCAACAGAATTCAAGGAAAAGAAAGAGCACAAAACACTGGCTCACACAGTAGCTGTGTGTTCGTTCAGCTAGAGCCCACTGTGCTTTGCTTGATTAGAAATAATCCAATGTTAACATGAACATATTTGAACCACAAACTTGACTAAAACCTCAGTAAATGGCAAAACAAATCCTTCCGAGGATGAGGCTCCTGGCCCCTGGCACCCTTGGCCGCTGACTGTGCGGGTGACCTTGTTACTAAGTCTCAATAGTCACAGCCCTGCATTTTATGCAGCGGAAATAATGGGGCCCCTCTCACTGCATCACTGTGGGGTTCATGGAGTGCCCACAGGTAGCTTCCAGGCAGAGCTTTCACGAAGAAGTCAAACACCATCAGTAAGCCCAACCCAACCCAAAGCCAATGCTTTGAGAACCAAAATTATGATTGGCATCTGTATTGTATCTTATACTCCTCTAAAAATTTCATCTCAACTCATCTCAAAGGCAATAGCCATTCAATAAATATTTGTTAAATTAACAAATCCAACAACCTTGTGAGTTAAATGGGCACATATTTGAAAATAAGACTATTGACACAGAGGGGATGAGTGAGTGGCCTAGTTCAAATAGTTAGACTGGGATGGGGTGAGGGGGTCATAGGGGGCGGGCGGGCAGAGTCAGAGCTCCTGACCCCCCATCTAATCGTCTGCCCCCACGGGAAGTTTACAACATGAATGACGACCCACAATTACCTTCACTCTTTCGTGTTCTTTTCCAAGGGACTCATACTCTCCTAAGAGCTGCAAGGGAAAACAAAGAAAGGCACAAAATCGAACATTATAATATCAACTGAAGGGTGCTCTAAATAACTGTCCACACTCTTTAAAAATGTCAATGTCACGACAGAGAAAGGTTAACGCACTGTTTCAGATTAAAGGCAACTAAAGAGATAAGAGAAATGAAGATGAGGCATGGTCTTGGGTTGGACCCTGGACTGGGAGAAAGTGTCGGAAAGGAGCAATTTGGGTGGATTTCTATACTCGGGTAACTGTTCTGGGGCTGCACATGAGAAGGAAATACATACCGAAAATTAGGGGTAAAGGGGCATGATGTCTACAACTTACTCTCCAATGGTTCAAGAAAACAAACATGCATGTGTGAACACATATGTACGACGGGGATGATAAAGCAAATATGGTAAAATGTTAGCTACTGCTGATCCTAAGTAAAGGGAATATGACAGTTCTTGCAAGTTTTCTGTAAGTTTGACTTTATTTCAAAATAAAAAGTAAAACAAAAGTAATATCAGTCAATACCCTTCAGGTAGTATTTAAAAGATTACAATTTATTTGCATTGTTCTCTTTTGAATTGTTGCATACTACTTCTTGCTAAGTTAGTTCCACAGAGTAAAGGCACAATCCTAAAAGTATAATATAATTAGGCAATGTATTTTAAAATACATATGTGAGACTTCTGCTTAAAGAAGGCAGATTCATCACAGAATTTTCTTTTTATCCTGAGATCCCACCAAATTAACAATGAAGCCATTGAAAAGAACACAAATGAGGGACCAGCCACAGGTGAAAGATTTCAACGAAGACGTGGCAAGCTGCAAGGCAGAGGAGGCCACAAGCTCAGGGCCTGAAGGGGGGATGCTAACGACAAGCAGGCTGATGCCCTGTAGCCCGGAGACACTCAGGTCTGAATCTCAGGTTCAGTGATGGACAGGGTGCAAGTTCAGGGCCGACCACAAGTCCTTAAGGGGAGTGGTCAGAGGCCAGGACCTACCCATCCCACACAACAGTGGACTGTCCAGCCAGGCAACAGGACACAGGACACACGAATGGGAGAAAAACGCAACTTGGGAAACCCAAGTATAGCGGAAAAGCGGGGGCAAAGGGATAAAAAAGAGAAAATGACTGAGGACAAGTCGTCACCTTGACGCCCCTCTCCTCCCCAGGGCCTGGCTGACAGGTCCCAGGCAAAGGACGAGAGGCTCTTCTGTGGGAAACTGAAGAACCTCAGAAAACAGACCTACACATTCATCTGGAGGTTTCCTAACCCAACGGCGGGTGTCACTACAGGGAGTCAGTCCCCTCTAGGCTCATAGAGCTTTCAAAAGAAAATTGATGGTGGAAAGGAGCGGGGAAAGCCACGGGGCTGGGGGAGGGGAGAAAGGAAGAGGCTGAATCCTCCGGTCTCTGGTTCACAACATAAACCAATGAAACAAAGCCTTCGAAATTCTGATGAAAAGAAAACACGCACTCAGAATTCTACACTTAGCAAATGACATGTGAAGACCCTAAATCTTCATCCACAATAATGATGGATAATGTAAAAAAATCAAGAAACAACAATGCAGGGGCCGGCCGAGTGGCGCGATGGTTAAGAACTCGCTTGGGATGCCAGAG